CCTTCAAAAATTTATTGCTTGATAAGAAAGGATACTGTTTTAAAATAACTTTGGAGATCTATATTTTAATTGATATTGTTCACATACCATAAATCTACCTATTTAAGGTAGCTTATACTATATTAACCAACTTAAGTCTGTTTATTTTATAGGGCATTCACAATGCTGTGTAAACATCACTGTTACATAATCCCAGACATTTCCATCACCCCCAAATGAACACCTGGTCAGTTCTTATGTGTGCCCCCTCACCTCTTAAACAGCTCTCACCCCTGTTGCTGGACAGTCGGTTCCCACTCAGAATGACCCTGCAAGTGAGTGATCTGCCCCGCACTCTCCTGGCTGTAATCCTTTCAGAGCCACTTCTTCAGCCCACAAAGCAGCTGCAGGCTTAGAACCACTGAGATTTCAGCTAGCAGAGGAGTCGGTAACCACTGTGCTCCCAGGGCGGCCCAAACAGTGCTAGGCAACCAGCAATCTGCACTCCATTGGTGTAGATGTAACAATTCTAGACTTGTCATATATGTTGACTAAATATATTGGAAAAATTTTTTTTAATTTTTGATATAGGGTATTTTGGCATCTTTCTGTTAGATACTGTTTTCAGGTTTCATTCATATTGTAGTATTATCAGTGGGTTTTGTTTTGTTTTGTTTTGTTTTGCTTTGACTGATTACATTTCAATGTATGGCTGCAAGAAGCCTTGTGGTTCAGTGGTTAAGAGTTCAGGTGCTAACTTAACAGCTAGCACTTTGAGCCCACCAGTTGCTCTGTAAGAGAAAAATACTATAATCGGTTTCTGCAAAGATTACAGCTTTCAGCAGTTCTCTGCCCTCCAGAAAGTCACTGTGAGGTAGAATTGACTCTTGGACAGTGGGTTTGGGGGTTAGGTTTCATTCTTTAGTTAATGGGCATGTGGGTTTACTTCCACTTTGCGGCTACTATAGATATTGCTGTCTTGCATATTGTGTAAATGTCATTTGTCTTGAGTGTACAAGAGGTGTCCAAAAGTTTGTGGGAAAATTCCAATATTTTTTTTCTTTTTTTT